GGTCGCCGATTCAAGAGTCAACAGTGAACTGTGACTTCAAGGTCACCACACGAGAGATGACACCACAGGGCAGGAGACGTGAGGGACAGGACTGAGGTGGTAGACTGAGGTACACAGTCGCTCAGTGGTCATCAAACAGTAGTGTGACAGCAGAGGGCCATTCTTTTCTACTTCCGAGGCGGGGGTGGGGGGTCTAGACCCTTAAGGAGACTCAGTCAGCTGCACACTAACTGAATAGCAAAAGATATTTATCCACACACACATTCACTCACTCACACTCAGGATTCAGGGAAAAGGGTCTTGTTGGTGTGACTCAGGATCTTGAGATGGGTGGGCTATCTGAGTGGGTGCTAAATGCCATCACGAGTATCCTTGTGAGAGAGAGGCAGAGGGAGAGTTTCATGAACACACACACACACACACAGGAGGTGATGAGAAGACAGAGGCAGAGATTAGAATGACATGGCCACAAGCCAAGGAATGCCAGCAGAAGCTTCCAGAATTCCACCAGAAGCTGGAAGAGGCAAGGAACAGGTTCTCCCCTAGAGCCCCAGAGGGAGCATATGCCTGCTAGCATTTTGATTTTGGTCCAGAGACATTGATTTCAGACTTTGGGCCACGAGAACTGCGAGAAAACAAATTGCGAATGTTTTCAGTCCCCCAGTTTGTCATAATTTGCTGCAGCAGCCACAGGAAACTAATACAGGTTATTATCTAGTACAAATGTATTTATCTACACACACAAAGCCCTCCCACGCACACTCAGGGTTCAGAAAGAAAGTAGACCAATAATCCGTAGCTGGGAATAGGATAACACTGACGAAGCGGGTTGAGAGCACTCGCTAAGAGTTCCCCCCCGACAAACACACTCCTCGTTGTCCAAAGGACAGATGGACGTTGTCAGGAGTGAGGGTGAGAGAGTTGTGCCATGTAATTCCGCTACTACAGCCCTCTAAACACGCACAAAGGCATTCCTGCCTGCTGTTAGTTTGAGATTCCTGTTTTCCCTCCAGGAAAATACTTTTGGCTGTTTCCTATTAATGGTTTTTAAATACTTCATGCTCCCCCCTTGTGTGTCACTGCAGTTGGTGTGTGAGCTGTACATTTTTAATGACTTCTTCTCATCACGTGTTCTGTATTTAAGATTACCGGGAGTTTTAGGAGATGGAAGGAAATTGGAGTTTCCCCAAGCTCGGAATACGTGTTTTTACATCCTCTTCGTTGGACACAGGGACCGAGTTTCTGGGACCGGCCCCTGCCCCTGGCCTCTGACCCCCTCTGGTCTCCCTGCTGCCTCCCAGGGCAGCGTGAGGACCACATGAGAATGCTTTGTGATGCCCACAGTGCTGTGGTGCTCGTTGCTTGTCTTGTCCTCTGTCTGTTTCAGGAGACTCCTCCACTTGCACAGCCGGCTTGAATGCTAAATTTTATCACACTACGTGAATGCCCTTCTTGTGCTGCCCCTAAACTATCATCCCCATTTTGCTATTTAGTTCCCAAACTTGTAAACTGTTTCTCTGTCTCCTGAGCCTCCCTGCATGCTTTCTTTTCTCAGATCCCCAAGGAATCGTTTCACATATAGTTATAAAGTCTCGCATTATGAAGCCCTTAGCCACCCAGGAGCTAATTGCCTTCCTTCGCTTAACTTTACTGCAACGTCTCACCAAACCAGCTGTCCTGAAACTCGCTCACTTCTCACACCAGGTTTTTCATATGCTTCTCATCGCCTTCTATCTGTGTTACTCTTTACATTCCCACGAGTCCACTGAAACATATTTTGAATTTTTTTTCTGTCTTGTTCCACATCTCACGATAGTGAGCCCTGTAAGTCTCTTACTTACTATGAGAGGAGTCAAAAGGCTCATAGAGTCACCCCTGAGTTTTGTCAATGAGAAAACAAGGGGGTTACATCATTGGCCCAAAGGGTTACAGCAAGTGGCTAAACATGGGAGGCCAAAGATCTGGGTTCCTGTCAGGTCATGTGGTTCGGGTTAGAAGAGAGAGATTTGAGAGGGCATGCTTGTCATATCGGTGGATGGACTAGCCCTGTGAAAGAAGACTCACTCAGAGCTCCAAGCTGTCTGCCTGGAACCTAGCAGAATGCAGTTGGCAGGATAACAACACGAGCCACTGAGCCTGGGTGCACGAGCAGCCAGTACGTGCCTTACCGGGACGCCATACTTGATTCCTTACTGAACTGAAGTGAACGCCATCTCTTCTTATTTATTTTTTTCTAAAATTTGTTTAAAATATACTTGGCTGATGTTTTTTAAGGAAAAATTGTAAGGATTTGAACATGAAGCGATTCTGATTTGTTCTGGAAATGGCCTCCAGACACACCGTGTTGAATCTTCCCTTTCTTACTGGGAGTTGAGTCCCTTCATGACTACTGGTCATATTTTGTAACTTCCAACAAATTTTGGTTATCACAGAGTCATGTTTCATTTTTAAAGACTCATTTCTGTTCATTTTTAAAAATTAAACCACAAATTTAATCCGGAGCTTTCCCCCACGACCCCAGCATTGGCAAGGTCCTGCTATACAGCTCCCATGTGTGCCTTTTGGGGAACCAGCATGGTTTGCTCTTTGCGAAACTTTCCCCTTTCCCTCTTCTAGTTGCTAGCTCCTCCAGTGCCTTGAGAAGAATAAATATCTCCTTACTTAACCGGGAGAGGTTGCAGTTGTCTCCCTGGTTGGCCATAGCTGCTTATCTGGATGGCTGTCATTAGGGGTGGACAATGGCTCCAACCTGCCCTGCTCAAGCCGTGCTCAAGCCTTCCAAGCTTTCCTGGGCATGGATGGTTCACTCTTAAGCTTGGCCACCTCTGCTGCTGAGGCTCAGCTCGCACACTCACACGGCCTTCCTCTGCTCGCCTCTTCGCTTCCCTTGCTTGGTTTGCCAACAACTCTATAACTCTGAATCTCATCTCCCCTCTGCAGCATCCCCAGGCAAGGACACATGGAACCCATCGTCCCTCCCTCCTGGAAACACCAAATAGCCCTGAGTCCCCGCCTTACCTGGCAGTCCCTGAGATGCCAGGTCATTCCTATTAACTTTCCCCCTGCTTAAGGAGAATGTCAGATCCACAAGTCCCTGAAGAAGCAGACATCTAATCAAGGGGAAGAGTGCCCTCCTCTTTCTTTCAGGAAGCGCCAAGCCTCGTGAGGATTGTCTGGGCACCTCTGCCTCTTTGGGTTTTGAGAGCAAAGCACCCTACTCTCTCTGTGCATTGCACTTTCTCAGACAGGTACCTGCTCCCCTCTCAGCAGTCACCATTTTCCTTGACGGCCTCCGACTGGGTCTCTAATTAGCCTTTCAAGAGGGAGCCAGCTTTAACACAGGGGCCCCCTTGGATTTGAATTTGAACCATAGAAAGACTTTTGTTCATAGCTTCGAGCCACTGAAATGTTAAACAACATGAAAAATTCCATACAACATTCTACTGTTTATACATATACAATAAAATACTAAAGACATTTCTAAAATTGTTCTTAATGATAAAATAATCTTGATTTAAGCAGCAATGGGTCATACCTGAGTGTTCCAGGAAGTCACAAGAGTCCCCAGGAAGGAACCTGCCCTTTGACATGCAGTGATGCATAGGCAGCACTCGCTGCGGACCCCCTAGGTGAGCGGATTACTGGCTCTGTTAGAGGATTGCTGTGCTATTTATGCTTCTCGCTATTTATGCTTCTCGTCTCATCGCTTCGACAGAGGCTCAACGCTGGTTTTATAGTGACCGCCTATACCTTACAGACTCCAGTCGTGAATATGAGCTAGAAAGACGTTTTCATGAAAAGCAAAATATTATGATTCACCAATGATCTGGGTCAAGCATGCAAGAGAGTGTGCAAACAAATGAATATTGGCAAACTTTGATTTGTAAACAATCAAGCAATGACACGTCCATATGATTTTTAAAGAATCGTAATCCAAGCGCCCAAAGATTAAAAAATGAGTGGATATACACCCTGTTCGTGATAGATCTTATTCTTTTTGCAGTTAATGAATAAAAATTGATTTCCTTTCATTTTTATTCTTCTGTTACAGAGTTTGACAGACTATGTGAACCACATTTTGATCATTCCTTTTGGCTACCACTTGATTTGATCTGGGGCCTTTTTTAACTATCTATTTAAATCAAAACATACAGGCTGTGGCCTTGGCTCAGGTGGTTGCTCCATTAACTCATCATTTTAAAGGGCTTCAGGCTCAGATGCTGTTGGGAAAGGCTTCCATGTGGTAGGTAACGTGCTCCCTCTAGCGGATAAAGAGAGAGAAGAAAGTACTGGATTCCTTCCTTGGAGGATTAGTTACGATTTCAATTTCTGAGCACAAATTCTGTTTTTGGTTTAGTTTCTCCCTAAAAAGCTACACTTTGTTACATCCAATTTCCCAAGGCTCCATTCACACATCAAGTCTATGAATCTTTTTTGTATTTCACTTTTATCTCCACTGGTGACTTTTTTTTCCTTTATGATTCTCTTCATCATTAAAATCACTCTGCCAACAAATACTTATTAAGTGCCTTCCATGTGTCAGGAATAGCTCTAGGCACTGGGGGTATAGCAGTGAGTGAACAAAATGCTTCAAAATCCTGTCATCGGGGAGCTTAAAACAATATCAATAAAGTTCATTGTGAGATTCCTATGTACCATTCTGTGTCCTTAGTGATTTGCAGATATTATTTAACTCATCCTCCCAACAACACTCGGAGGAAACTGAGAAACTGAGACATTTGCCAGGGGTCACACGGATAGCGAGAGGTACCACACCTCAGAGAACTTTGCCCACCAGACCACCTGGGAACTCTGAACCTCAGGCCCTGTTTGGATTTTCTTTCTTGTTCCCGAACCGACGTGCGTTCCCTCCTGGAGAGTTAAATCAGACTCCCCACCAGAAGTAGTTGTCTGACAAGTAAAGTATATTTGCAGCAAATAGGAGACCATGAGGAATCATTTCCAGAGTCATAGCGTCCTCCAACAAAGGGAAGCAGGGACATTTATTTGGGATGGGGAATGAATATTCAAAAGGAGAGGTGGGCATTCGCTTGCGCAGGCTCAGTTGGAAAACATCCTTCCACATGCACTGCAGGTTAAGGTCTTAAGGCGTAAGGTCCTCCTGGAGCGATGTTAGCATTAAAAATAAGGCAAAGGTCATAGCTGTAGCTCTCATGGTGATGCCTGGTCTGGTTGGGGGAGTGGTGATTACATCTCCTTAACATAACAAAAGGAAAAAGAACAATTTGGAAAAAGAGTTAAAATATCCAAACCCACCCTTGAGTTCATCAGGGCAACCAGTCAGTGACGTTATGGTTTGTTTTAATTCCCTGTCTCCTCCAACTAATGGGGATACTCCATGTGAACAAGGACCGTGTCTGCCTGCTCGTCACCGTAACCCAGCCCCTAAAGCCTGCCCCGGCTGGTTCTCCAGAATAACTTGCTTCGATGGCTTAACCACAATGAAATCAATGAGCAGAAAATGGAACTGAGGACTAATTGACTCCAAACCCTTCTCCCCAAGGTCCTTTACTACTTCCCCGCGTATCCAAAATAGGAAGCAACCCCTTACTGGTTGGCTCAATTGAATTATCCTAGAGTTGTATGTTCTCTCCGTTTTCTTAAACAGTAGGTGAAGGAAAGAGTCTAAAATGAACAAGATCTGGTTCTTCAGAAGACATCAAGTCTTTAAACAGTTTCTCACTTGTCAGCTCTCCTGAATTTTGCAACTGGAGGAGAAAGGGAGAAGACAAAGCAATGTCCACGTTGGGCTGAATGGATTCCCTTGAAGAGCCATTCACGCTTGGGGTGGAGAGCAGAGGATGAGTCGAGCTGAGCTGCCCTTTCAGGATCTACTGAGCCTGCTGTGACTATAACCTAGTGCCCATATAAAGGGGTCAGTGTCCATGGTGTTATTTTGTTATTTATTTTATAGTAGTTATTTTCTCAATCTTTATATGCCCTATACAATCACTTCCACTCGCCAAATGACTTAAGGGCACGATAGCTGTCATTCAAACCTGTTAACCCTTCTTTGTGTGTTTGAAAGTCATCAGCACCACTCTGGCCTAAGTTGCCCACACAGAATGGTAAATATCGAAAGAAAGATCTACCATGTGAAATGCTTCTGGCCTGAATAAATGCCTGCTCAGTTTGTAGCGATGCCTAGGTAATTACTCGGTCATGAAGCAGGCTCACCTTTCAGAGCTGAAGGAGTCAGAAAGAATTACCGGGTGCAGGAGCAGCTCGTGGATCTCTCTCAGCCTACCCCTTAGGTTTATGTTTTTAAAAGGGTTTGCCAGTGTCCTGCTTCTATTACACAGACATAAGAAAACAAACCAAAAGGAGAAAACTGAAAAGAGGTTATTTCAGGCTGACAGTTATTTAAAAACAGCAGCAACAACAAAAACAACCCAGGGGAATCCTGAATATCAAAAATCAAGAGGCCTAGAGTGTCATCTGACAAGAGATTTTCAAATATTGAGGTATATTGGGTAACCGAGTTCAAAACTGATTCGTCTTGAACTAGAAAGCCTGACTTATGGCCTATCAAAGATACATTGTACATGTGCTTATCCATTAAAATAAGGAATCTCTCTTGAGATAAAGAACGCCAACTTCCCCTCCTACTTCCCTATTGGTAATGCCATATTGGTAACACCCAGATTAGTCCCTTTCCTGGCATCATGGTCATGTTGATCTCCTAATTTGCAACTGAATACTGAATTTATAGTGTTGACACAAAAAATCCATAACCAACCTATAAATCAAAACTGGGGTGAGTTTATTGATGAGGATCAAGGCTGCCCCAGGGAGAAGCCCAAGGCGTCCTGCCCTACACACTGATCTATATCATCCTCTGGGAAGCATAGGACATCCTGACATGATCATCTGACTCTTATCTAAAGTTATAGGACCACCTGATAACCAGACCCCACCTGCACTGATACCATTTTAACAACTTTTTTTACATACTCTTTCCTTTGTCTTGTAAAGAGATAACTCGCATACCTATGCCCTAAATTTAGCCCTACCCTCAACCCATGTTTGTAGCTCTTCCTGCCCATGTGTCCTGTCCCCATGCCTGCAGCTCTTACTGCCCATGGGTCCTGTCCCCATGCCTGCAGCTCTTCACTGCCCATGGCCCCTGTCCCCATGCTATTCTCTGAATAAAGGAGCACTGCTAACAGACCTTGAGAGTCCAAGAAATCTTTCTTTCAACTTCTTGGCTCGCTGAGCCCACATCATTTATTATGAGCCAGAGTGAGGATTATAACCCAGGAAGGTCTTAGAAGGCTTTCCAGAGAAGCATGGGTTTAAGTACAGTCTTATATCCTTTTAGAACAAAGAACATACATTAAACACACCCAGGAAACATTTTCAAAGAGGTATTCAGTTGCAAATTAGCAGGTCAAAATGACCATGCTGCCAGGAAAGGGACTAATCCGGGTATTACCAATAGGGCGTTCCCAGTAGGGTATAGGCGGGGAAGGAGGCATTCTTTATCTGAGAGAGAGTCCTTACTTTAATGGATAAGCAGATGCACAAGGCATGTTTGATAGGCCATAAGTCAGGCTTTCTAGTTCAAGCCAAATCAGTTTTGAACTCGAATAGTCACCCCATATGCCTCAACATGTGAAAATCTCTTGTCATTAGGTTGGTTATGAATTATTTGCATCGACACATTCACCCTTTATTAAAACCAGAGGGGTGGTTCTTCCCTCCTTGTTAGGTCTTTTGTGAATGAGGAGCTCTGTAAAGTTAAGCTCGCCAATTGATTCTATACAGCTCTTCCTTCATTGCACCCAGGTTTTTTTCTCCACAGTCAGATTGTATTTATAGTTGATAACCACCATCTTATTTTGAGAGGTCAAGATACCAGTTTCTGATGGGGTTAAATTGCTTTTAGTCACTATTTTTATTTTATACCTGCCAACTTCCCTGATAAACCAACCTATCTCCAAGTGGATGGATCCACACTCTACGGAGATCCTCCAAGGAGAGGCTTTTATCTCCAATCTCTTTCTTCTGCCTTTCTGCAATTGCTTCTTCTCCTATCGTGTCAACTGTCACCTGTGTGCAGAAATCTCTCATGTCTTATCCTCCCTTTGCAAACTCTAGGCAGCTATTCCAACTGCCCTCTGGGCATCTCTACCTTGACTTCTACTCTTGCTTGAATGTCAATATGTCCTAAACTGAATTCACCCCCAAACTTGCTCCTAATCTCCTTAGTCATTGCCAAAGTCCTAAGGATGAAATCACTACAATGAGTTTTGGATCTGTTCCCCTCCTCTGAGTGCCTGCTGCCCACAGCCAAGTTGCCCTCACTCTTTCTTTCTTGGACTTCTTTAAAACTCTTTTTAACTGGTCTCTGTGCTTTCCAAAGACCACTCTTGTATGCAATCTGCTCTTCATCTTCTTAAGTGCAGCTGCCGTCAATCTCTCTGCTGCCCAACAACCTTGAGAGGTCTACCAACAATTTAGAGAGAAACTCCTGAGCCCAGCTGGGTGTCCAGGGCTCTCCACAATGAGGTCCTCTTGGCGGGCCCTTATGATGCGGGGTCGGTGAGCCGAGGAGTCGAAAGAAAGATTTCTTAGACTCTCAAGATCTGGCAGTAGTGCTCTTTTATTTAGAGAATAGTGTGGAATAGCATGGGGACAGGACCCATGGGCAGTCAGAGCTTCTGCTGCCCCCGCTGGTATGGGGACAGAGCCCATGGGCAGGCAGAGCTGGTGCGTGGGGACAGGACCCACGGGCAGTCAGAGCTCCTGCTGCTGCCCCGAGTTGAGGGTTAGGGCTAATTTTATAAGGCATAGGTATATGATTCATCTCTTTACAAGACAAAGGAAAGAACATGAAAAAAAGTTAAAATGGTATCAGTGCGGGTGGGGTCTGGTCATTGGGTGATCCCATGACTTTTAGACAAGAATCAAATCAGATTAAGTAAAGGTTAGAAAGGTTAGACGCCACCACCCTAAACCAGTTACATGAGATTGCCAAACAGCAACCAACTTAAGTTCTTGCCTCTGGCATTGACCAAGAGCCTCTAGAGATAAGACCATCCCCCCCTCTTCCTGGCACAGAGAGGGAGGCATCTTCACAGATAGAGGTTTCCCTTAGAAATGTAAATGTTTCCCAACAAAGGGGCAAACAAATTCCACTCCTTGGAGCCTGAATCTCATCTGTAGTTTTAAAACTAACCAGCCTAAAAATCCTCATCATAAGCCATTTTAAAATTAAGCAGCCTAAAAATCCTCATCACTTAGACCGACCCTCAATGCTCACTAAACTGGAGTTCTCACCTTTCCTACACTAACAAGTCCTTTCCTGTCTCTGGGTGTTCTCTCACACTTTTTCTTCCTCGTGGTGTACCAGTCTCAACTCCACCTTCCCTGTTGCATCCATTCCTTGAGACCTTTAGCTCAATTCAAGAGCCAGTTTTCCAATTCCTCCTGAGGGTTTTTTCCTCCAGATCTTTATAGCACACTGTTGGTTTTTCTCCCACCGTAATTTCCTTATTTTCTTCTTCTTGGTATTATAGTTACAGGCATACCTTGTTTTATTACATTTCACTTTATCACACTATGCAGATACTGCAGTTTTTACAAATTGAAGATTTGTGGTAGATATTTAAAAAACACATTTCACAAGCCTACAGCTGCCGCAGAGAGTGATTCCTCTGACGGATCTGGGCAAAGTAAATTGAAAACCTTCAGGGAAGGATTCACCATTCTAGATGCCGTCAAGAACATTTGTGATTCATGGGAAGAGGTCAAAATATCAACATTAACAGGCATTTGGAAGAAGTTGATTCCAATCCTCATGGATGACTTCGAGGGGTCCAAGACTTCAGTGGAGGAAGTCACTGCAGATGTGGTGGAAACAGCAGGAGAACTGGAATTAGAAGTGGAGCCTGAAGATGTGGCTGAATGGCTGCAATCTCATGGTCAAACTTTGATGGATGAGGAGTTGCTTCTCATGGATGAACAAAGAAAATGGTTTCTTGAGATGCAATCTACTCCTGGTGAAGATGCTGGGAAGATTGTTGAAATGACAACAAAGGATTTAGAATAGTACATAAACTTACTTGATAAGGCAATGGCAGGCTTTGAGACTGCAATTTTGAAAGCAGTTCTGCTGTGGGTAAAATGCTATCAAACAGCATTGCACACTACAGAGAAATTGTTCACAAAAGGAAAAGTTAATCGATGCAGCAAACTTCATTGTGGTCTTATTTTAAGAAAGTGCCACAGCCACCCCAGCCTTCAGCAACCACCGCCCTGATCAGTCAGCAGCCATCAACATCAAGGCAAGACTCTCCACCATCAAAAAGATTATGATTCTCCCAAGGCTCAGATGATGGTTAGCATTTTTCAGCAATAAAGCAGTTTTTAATTATGTACTTTGTTTTTTTAGATGTAATGCTGTCGCACATTTAATAGACTATAGTATAGTGTAACTTTTTTGTCTTAGATCATACTTTTGTTTCAATTATTTTATTGAGACCATAATAGTTTATAACATTGTATAATTTCAGGTGCACATTATTATTTATCAATTTCTGTATAGACTGCGTTGTGCTCACCAACAGTAGTCTAGTTTTTATCCTTCACCATACATATGTGCCCCTTTACCCCTTTCACCCACCCCTTCCCCTTTCCCCTCTGGTAACCACTAATCTGTTCTCTTTATCCATGTGTATGTTTATCTTCCACATATGAGTGAAAT